AAGCCAGAGCCTCAGGCAGGCAACTGGGCATCAGTCCAGCGGCTGAGGCGAGAGCCGGAAGCCCTGGTCAGGGCAAGAGGAGCGACTCCCAGCGTTTGCTGGGAGCAGAGCAGCAACTCGGGAAGTTCTCCCATTCCTGAGGAGCAGTATTTTTGAGAGCAGGGGAGAGAAGAAAGAAAAGGACCCGAGCTAGCAGCCGGGTCAGGCGGAGACAGAGCCAGGGTGCCGGAGGACGCCCGTGGGCCTCGGGAAGGCCTGCCAGAAAGAAGTGCTGCAAGTAGCGGCGGATGACCATCTCATCAACAAGTGACCGGTTGGCGAGTGGACGGGGTGTAGGGGTGGCGGAGCCCCATGGAACATCTGAGGACCCAACCGTGAGTATCCCCCTTTACGTTGGGCAAGCCCCTCTGGCAGAAGATCTCCACTGAACCCCTCCTTCGAATCACTTAACATCCAAGTCGTGGCAGGCGGGACGAGGGGGAGGGGCTACCAGACGAAGGGCGGTACCGGACGGGAGGCCCACGGACGTCTCACACAGAAATCTAAAAAGTAATTTAAAAAAGAGGCTGTCAGAGGTCATTCCGGTGCTAAACTGCTAGACTTCATAAAATAAATAATTTAGTAAGACTCGTTTGGCAATAGTGAAAACGGAAAAAAAAATCTGTTACTGTGAATGATCTCTGAACCTGAGATAAGTGCAGTTGAGTGTTTATGATTTTCTTCTAATAGATAGTTAGAACCACTTGATTTGTCAAACCGCCTCTACAATGAAAAGTCGAACCCTGTCCTATCCAGAAATATGAACCAATGGGAGATTTTTCCCTACCTGCAAACAAAGTATTCAGTGTGGGTCAAGGACTTTCTGCAGATTTCTTCCATCACCATGCTGATACACACCCTCTCAAGACTGCCTTCTACATATTTTTCAGTTGATTTCTTCCCTTTATGAGGATCTTTATCTACATACCATAGCAGACCTATAGAATATAGATTGAGCTTACCTTTTTAAAATAATAGATCTTAACTATCTGATTGACAGCTTAATATATACAGGTCTGGGAACGCTCCAGCATGTTAAATGATTTGTTTCAGAAACCAAATTTAAAGAGGGGAGGGAAAGATGTCACTCACTTCTATTAATTTCAGTCTGGATAAACAGGCTCCAAGTAACAAACAAACAAACAAACAAACACACACCACTTTGGCAACCCACCTCTTTTACAAGTCATAAGTACTCAGCACCCACTTGTCAAGTGCAAGGATAACATATCAAACCTATTCAGCTTTCAAGAAGATATACAAGGACCACCAGGTGGCAGGCTTGCCCACCTTTTCTATTTTCATGCCCTCTGAAGTAAGGTTTCTGGGAAAAACAATCCTATGGTTTAATGTGCCAAAATAGTTTAGAGCAGTGATCTCCAACCTTTTAAAGGTAAAAAATCACTTTTTGAAGTAAAGGGCAATCCAGGATCTACTGCCCCCCAGCCCAGTCTATGTGGGGCAAGGGAGGAAGTGGGGCAGGGATGAGTACCCTGCTGGGCCGGGCTGGACTGGGGAATGGTCGGAGCCCAGGTAGCTCGTCCAGGTGCACAGGGGGCTCCCGCTGCTGTATGCACCCCGGCAGAGGACTGGGGGGCACATGCCCCCCAATCTGTGCATAGGGTGAGGCAGCTGCCGTTGTGCACTGGGCTTTGCAGGTTGGGAGCCCCTCCCCCCGCACACCTGGATGTGCCACCTGGGCTCCAACCCTCCCCTGGTCCGGCTGGGGCCCCACTCCCAGTGGCAGGGGGCGCGGAGGGGGATTGTCACACTTACCCATCCCAGCCCTGGCGGCAAGGGGTGCGGGTCAGCCCAGCCACATGCATCCTGCCACTTGTACGTCCTGCCGCTCCTGAACTGCATGCCGGCCACTCCCGCTCGTGGAGCCTCTGATAGTCGATCTCAGTCTGGGGGGTGCTAAACACCCAGAGATCGATTGTCAGGGGCTTCCCAAATGACCTGTCGATCAGGATTGACCAGTTGGTGACCACTAGTTTAGAGTGTTATTCACTTAGCTGTGGGGAATCTAGAAACATTTACCTTTCTGAAGAAGCATTCTAAGAATTGTGCTCTTTCCTGAGAGATCAGAAATGCTTTTCTGCCCACCTCACATGGCTGAAGTAATTGCTGTGAAAAAAGATGCAATAAAGAGGGAGAAATTATTGGAGAAGAAAAGGTCTAGACTCAGAGAGGATATGAGCCTAAAATATTAAAACTATGTTTTCACAGAAGAATTATTGATGAAACTGGTTTTAGGAAGGACCAGAAAAGGGGTCAGGACTCTACTATGATTTTACTACTTCTCAATAAGAGCAGATATTTGTTTAAGTAAACTAGGTTACAATCTAAATTCCAAACCTGCCTGAATAATTCTAAGATGCAGGTGGATGGACTGTTGGCAAGAGATTCGCCATTAAATGCAATCAATAAAGCCTCTCTTGTATAACCATGAGGTTATCTTGGTCTCCAGGCCACTAGAAGATGTTTCTTTGGCCTGAGGTGAAAACCTGGAGCCTTAAATAAAGAAGGACAATCTGAGACACTTTTGACTTAGTGCAGGAAGCTAATGTACCAAGGACCACAGAGGTTTAATGGGAATGCCTCAAATAAATCTTTCAAAGACTCTTAGGATGAGGGTCCAGGGAAATGGGGAAAGTATTAATCCTGTGAAGAGGTTTATGGCAGAAGCTCCTAGTGCCACAAACCTGCTTCAGAAATTGACAGTTTCCCAGTTTATTTGGGTGTTGAGCAGATTCTTTGCTGGAGTCCTTCAGTATCAGGCATGAAACACTGTCTGGTAATCCAGGTTACCTGGATATCGACAATATACCTGTGTGGCAGTGTTGCTAGAGATAGCTCCAAATAAGCTAGGTTGGGTACCAAAAGCAGAATTGCTGCATTCCTACACCTGTTTCAGCAGGGCTAATTTACCTATATGGCATTCAACACTAAAGGGCCAATATTTGTTCAGAGCAGCTTGGGTATATACTTGGCATTGACATGCTGGGCAGAGGCAGCATCCCTCCCCAAAAAGTGGAAAGGTCTGGTTTCAAGACAGAAATTCTTACTTTTTGTTCTTTTTTAATAGATAAGATTTATAATATAATAGAAAATTACTTCCCCACGTGCGTGCATGCACACACACAACAGTGACTATATCAAGAGACAGAAAGCTAGTTCTGGATCTAATAGTAGAGAACTAACCTGCACAGCCAACATCTGTCTTTTAGGTTATTATTTATTTTCTACTTGAATCTACGAACTTTGGGCTGAGCATCTTGAGTACAAAGGATTAAAAATCAACCCAGAAAGAAGGCTGGTTTGATTTTAAATCCTAGACAGTTTACCCTCTGTTTGTGTAGTCTGTCCCCCATGGATTTTTATTGTTTAAAGAAGTTTAAGATCATCTATCCTTACCAAATGCAAAACAACCTTTGAAGTCAGTAAGATTAGACTCAGAGCAAACTAATATTATAGGGAAGACAACGATTCAGAGGTGTGGCTCAGAAATAGTATAAAGCAGTAATATATTTAAATTCTTTCAATAGCCCAAATCCTTAAAATTTACAGATTGAACTATGAGCAACTCTTTGTCAGAACTGCTGGTAAATGACACGCATGGAAATACAGTCAAGAAACCAATGTTTAGATCACAGACAACTGGAAAACATTATTGAGAAACTATTTATAATTTTGAAGAGGCAACATTGGCTGTGAACAAAAGTTTTCAGACAAACAGTTCTGCACAAGTTCTGTATAACCTGAGTGCTGCATAACCTAGGGCTTGCTCAGTGATGTCGTCATAAGATGTGACAAAGCTCTTTGACTTTTTAGGTTTGAATTATATTTTCAGTCAAGCAAATTTGCCTTCCTCATTGCTTGGTGCCTCTGGTGTTTTAATGAAACAAGAATTTTTCAAGATGTTCCGGGATCTCGCACATTTCAAGAGAGATTCAAAACTGCAAAAGATTAGCAGAAACAAAGGTCAGAATATGGAGATATGATAATTTTCAGTTATATCTGACAAATGAGGCATCAGAGCCTACAGTATGCTATGGTGTTAGTAAAAACAAACAAAACAAAAAACCTAATACGCATTAACGTTCTCATAGCCAAGATTTGAGTAGAGTGCCATGGGTTTACGACAGGGGCAGGCAAGATGTGGCCTGTGGGCTGGATGCGGCCCACCAGGCCACTCTATCCGGCCCACGGGGCCCCTAAAACATTTAGAAAATTTATATTTATCTGCCCCTGACTGCCTGTCATGCGGCCCTCAATGGCTTGCCAAAACTCAATAAGCGGCCCTCCACCGAAAATAATTGCCCGCCTCTGGTTTACAAGGTAGGGCTTGCATAAAACCTTCTTACATATCATTCTTGGACTATTTACCATGATACTAAAGGATTTGAAATTCAAATACATGCTATATATTCTCCAAAATAATCAGTATTGGACACACTCTAGGATAATGTACAAAGGTCTCATAATATAGATAGTGTATAAATAGAATCCGTTTATTTTTACCTCCCAAAGGGCAGGGCTCTACTCCAATTTTAACATGGCTTTTTTAGGTAGCGACCCACAAGACTTCCATTCCAATGCACAATGTTTAAAAAGTTTGGCAGCAGGTGGAGAGGGCCAGGGAAAAGTCCTCTTGCCTTAATTTTCTCCAAGTTTGCTACTCTGCCAATTATGCAAAATACCCATCTATTATCCCATCTTTGTATACTAAGGAGAATAAATCAGAGCAAGCCAGGACCTAGCCAACTAGCCATGTCTCTTGAATCCTTTCTTGATTCCCCTTGGGCACATCTACACATGCCTATTAACATGTTTGAATAAACTGTGGAACTTAATGCTTCACAGTTTATTCAAATTGGGCATGCATCCGCACGTGCACCCGGGATTGCAGCATGTTGAGCTGGAGCAGCCCCACCTGGTCGGGGGCTGGTGGCCATAGGAAGGGGTCGGGGGTCAGCCTGCCAGCACTCCGTCCCAGTTCAATGTGCTGTGGAGGGGCTGGCCGGCACATAAGGGTGCTTCACTGTGGGGCTACCCAGCAGGCAGTCCCCACACTGAAGCACCCTCATGGTCAAGCCAGCCCCAGTGGCATGTACATGTGCACTGCTGAGTTTTACACTCCACAGAAGGATAGTATGTGGATTTACAAGTACTATCCTGCTGCAGAGTAAATTAGTTTACTCCAGCCTAATAGGGGAACACGTGTAAACACAAGACATTTACTGCCCAGCTATTTAGTCAACTGTGCAGTACATGTCTTGTGTAGACATGCCCCTCAAGTTGTAACCATGTTAAATAAATCTATACTAGGCATTTTATATATATGTGATGATAGCGAATGTATCAAAAGGAAGAAAAAGTCCATCCACCCAGATGCTCCAACAGCATTGCAATTTGAACAGAAAAATATGGATGGGTCAAATCTGTACATTAGAAAAAATATGTAGCAAAACAAAATCCTCTTTCTTCATCACATGCCAGGTCACCAGTCCTGTGACTGAAATCAACAGCCTACATAAATGGTGGGTGTTACTCTGGGCAAGCACTTCCAGAAGTACTGCTCAGGTGTTTAAGTCTACTCCTGCTTCTTGGTAGGAATCTGGACAAATCCAGAGTGGTTTCTCAGGGATGTAAGCTCCCTCTTCCCCACAGTCACCAAAAAGTGTTTCCTTTTCTAGAGTAAAACTGAAGAAAATGGACTTTGAAACAAGAGATTTAGGAGCTGTCCACTTATTGATGAGGAAACTATAAGTACCTGTCAAGAGTCTAAAACTTTTAGCTTAGATCTCCTTAATGTGGTTTTGAATCTCAATCTGTCCAGATACAGAAGAGCTGGCAGACAGCAGAAGCTGTAAAAATAGCAGTTGTACACTTCTTTGGAATGAAGAGAGGAAAATGTAAAGGAAAAATAAATACAATACTCTAAGAAAAACTATAGCAGAGAAATACTAGCGATTTCAGGTTGCTCAGTGCCATCTGCACAGTAACAAGTAGGAGGTACCACATAGGTGAATCTGAAGGTGACAGGACAGATGCTACTTGCTCAACAGCTTTGGGGACAACATATTTAGCACTGTTTTAGAGCAGGGCACAGACAACTGGGGTCTGGCCTGAAGTGCACAGATTTCTGAAATGGGCTTTGGATCAACAGTCTCAGCAAAGGACAGGTGGATCAGTCCTGATTCTTATTTAAATAGGGGCCATGTCTACACAAGATGCTACTGCACAGTCGTTACTGCACATTTATTTAATACTTGTATATACTGCACACTTATATAGTACTTGTATGTATAAGTATTAAGTAAATGCACAGTAACCTGAATTACTGCACAGTAGTGCCAGCAAATGCTTTTTCTGTGACACTACTGCACAGTAGCCTAATAATACTTCACAGTAGCGTCACGTCATGATTTTTCCCATGCGACACTACTGCCCAGTAGTATCGGGCACTGTGGACTTGGGCTCCCACCTTGCTGCCTTTCCCGGGGACCTCAGCAGCCCAGTGGGTGCAACTCATCACTGCAGGACACAGCGGGGCCCCATGGGGATGTCCTTGCCGCTAGAAGCTCCATGCTGCTCTGGTGAGGCATCCCCTGCATGCACGACAGCAGTGAAGGGCACAACCCCATGACACTGGGCAGAGGAGATGTTGCCAGGGCAGCCTGGAGCTCTCAGCAGCAAGAACCCCACGCAGCCTCACTGTGCCCTGCAGCACTGGGTTGCACCTGCTGGGCTGCAGAGTCCCTGGGGGAGGGCAGTAGGGTGGGAGTCCACACCTGCAGTGGGCAGCCCACCTCGCCCCTGCCCGATGCACAGATTTGAAGGGCACGCGTCTCCACTGCCCCCCCAGGAGTGCACACAGCCACAGGGACCCAGTCCTCAAAAAAGGGAACTTTGCTACTGATGAATATAAGGGTGTTATGCTATTACTCTCTAAAAGTATGGTTTCCAGTACATTAGAAAGCAAAGTTAAGAAATAAAAATAATGTTAAAATCTTACCTGTTTGAATTTGCTTTCCCCTTCCAACAGAAGTAATCTTACTTACATAAGGTATCACGCTAGAGACAAAATATGGATAGTAATGTATAGTGAAATAGTGAAATATTACCATTTTATACATTTTAAAAGCAGTTCAATCAACTGGTACAATTTCAGTTGCATCATTTAGATCAGTGGTTCTCAACCTTTTTTGTTCCAGGACCCATTTGTAAACATTGATGGCCAGTCCTGACCCGGTAAATAGTTCAAGTAGCTAGCCTCCTGCCAGTCAGCAAGGGGAAACCCAAGGTTTCCCATGTTTTTCTCCATTAAAAGAGAAAACATGATTTTCCATGTTTTTCTGTGATTGTTCACTACCCTTTCATAAATTCTTGTGACCCATTTTTGGGTTGCGATCTACAGGTTGAGAAACACTGCTCTTAATTTAAAATTTGGAAGCAACATGGAATGTTAGTTAAAGGCACTCTACTATAGAGTCTGTCGCTACTTTACTGGAGTTAGGGCCAAATCCTGAGATTCAAGAAACTCAAGATGGAGTCACATTTGCATTTAGATTTAAATGTCAACCCAAAGTTCTAATTACTGGGTGATTTCATTTAATAGCACAACTTTGGGCTCTGATGCATCATTTTCTGATAACTTAACTGTGCATCCCATAGGAATTGCGCATGGCCCCAGATACAAGTGGGAGAGGTCAATTTTTAATATACCGTATTGGGAAAAACTTCCATAGTAGATCAGAACATGATTTTTTTCTACAGATAGTTTAAGAAAATAAAAGTAATTACAAAATGTAATAAAGGATTATTAGAAAAATTAAGATGGAAAACTTGTAAAATTTCAGATGACCCAGAGCATGACATTTTGTAAAACCAGCATCATATCTAATTTCACACAAAAATACATTTTGTTTTTTACTAGTTGACTAACTTACCTATCAAATAATAATTGTATGGAAAAAAAAACAAAACACACTTCTTTCTATCACACTGTACAAGGAAGGTGATTTACAGTTTAAAGTTCAATTTTTTAAATACATTTGAATAGACTTAAAATGAGTAAGTAGGGTAAACTTGAAGAAATGATAGTCTGACATCCTAAAACAGGTTTTTGGATGTTTCAGCTTCTTTTGCAAGTAACTTAGATGCTCTTGGTTATGGAACAGAAGCGAGGCCTACAGAAAGAGGCTGGGATTTTTCGGAATTTGAAAGGTTTATATAACAGTAGAATCTGAGTAGTCCTGATGGTCCAGGGACTATGCTAGAAGCTAGATTTATTTCGTAATATCTTTTATTGCACTAAGATTTTAGCTGCTCCTTCCCAAACCTGAACAAGTAGGAGAAACAGCCTGAAGTAAACAGCCTGAACTGAACTCCAGTTAGAACAATTCTTAAGTAGTAAATGAGCCGTCACAGACAACTACGTTCCAAAAGATGTTTATCTACTAATTGAACTGCCTTTTCTATATTAAAAAAAACTAAAGAAACATTTTAGTGTCAAGAGCATGGATGAAGTTCAGGAAAATCTGGCATAAGAACAGTGAAATGTTACTTAAAAGTTAGACACCTGTTAGAGCAAGGATTTTAATTTACTAATGTGCCTGTACAATACCCAGCCTGATACTGTACGTACAATATCTAGACCCCAATCCTGAATAGGGCCTCTGGCTGCTCCCGAAATACAAGAGATAGAGAGTGGGTATCTGGTATAAGACAGAAGAGAAAAATTAAACATTATAAAAAAAGAAAAAAAACACAATAACCCCCCCCCCCAAGGTTTGTATAGTATAACTCTCACCATCTCTTAGACTTGCCACTTGACATTAGGACCACAAATATTACTTTAAAAACCTGTACATATGAATACCTGCACATTTATTTTAACTTCTCAAATTTGGTCTAATATACATTTCTCAAAAAACCCACAACTTCAAAAATTAATGGAGAAAAAGAGTGGGCAATCACCCAAGGAAGCTACCTACAAAGACTAAAGGCATCTAACAGACAACAAAGGAGACATACTACAAACAGGAGCCATTGATATATCCTGTTCTTTCCATAACAGTGCAAAGGAAAAAACAGGGCGAATGTCAAGAATGCTGATAAACTGTAGTATTTAGATTAAACATTTATTTTTTCATATATTCACAAAATCTTCACAAAAGTATTGAAACTCAAAAAGGAATTAGACTTGAGTCAAATACAGAGATGAAATGTACAAGACAAATGAGCAGGCAAACTAAAAGTTCTTGAAAGTATTTTACTTCAGATTGAAAAAAAAAGGAACAGTTCAACTGTTCTGTTTAAATAAAGATTTGCAAGATATACAGTATTTTATGAATACAATGCTGGTCATTTGAGGCAATGTAAAATACACCTCAATTTTTCCTTCATGCTTTTTTTTTCTTTTAGAAAGTTACTGTTTACCAAAAAGAAACGTGAGCAGTCCAGGAAAACCTATTTTCCATAAAATTTATGAAAACCATAAATTGAGGCAAACCTAAGATTCCCAATGGAATCAAGATTATCTTCCCGCTACCACCACCTTAAAATTATCACATGCTTATTGGAACACTAATATCTGCACCCTAAGAGTACATTTGCTTTCAACAATGAGGGTGATTCTTTAAAAACACTTCAGTGTGGTAAATGCGATACAGATCTTTGCAAGTATTAAGTGTTTGGAACAGTTTTGCTAATAGCAGCTAACAATACTGGATTAATATAATTTATAAATAATTGTTCCCTAAGCGGTGAACATAAGTCTACACATTCACAATAATCTAAAACAAAATAAATACTGTGATTATGCATAATGTCGTACAACTTGTACTAGTTTCTATGAATAAAAGCTCAACATCTTGTTGATAAAATTATCTGATCAGAATAAAAATGTGAATCTAAAATTTTAAACATTGTCAAATTAACATCACTTTTTAAACTCTTAGTACTGGTATGAGTAACTGTTATGAATTCCATCTTGTTGAAATATGTATTTTTCTTTTTGAAGTAAAACACTTTAAACATGTTGAGAATGATGATTAATTTAATTGATGACATCACTTTTGGTCTTATTTTAGTGTTATTTTATTTTAAAAAGGCATTTCACACATCTGTGCCCATTAAAGGTCAGGTTGGTCTGCAGTATTTTGTAAATGTATATAAAAAGAAATTGATAAAAGCTAACAGCATTTTATAAAAGCATCGTCTCCAGGAAAGCTACATTAAATGCAGCCACGTAGGTTGAACACAAACTCTTTCCTCTTAAAGAAATATGTTAAAGTAAATGCCATTTAACATTCTATCATTAAAGTGCCCCAACTCTTTTTTCAAACTACGTATGTGGATGTACATATTTAATTTACATTCACAGCATTAAATAATTTACTGTAAATTAAAGTGTGACCGAACCAAAAAATGCTGAATTTTAATTAAAGGTACAAGTTCAATGAAGAAATATTAGAAGGCTATGAAAGGTATGGGTTAAGGCAATACAAAATATATTTTCCATTATTTGAAGACTACTTAAATTTTTAAAGTGTAAATATAAAAATACCTAAAAGGGGAATGAGAAAAAAAATACTTTAATAGTAAAATTTACAGATAGCTTAAATTTTTTTCTCCAAGTGTTAGCAAAAAATATAAAAAAGACCAGATTTGGGTGGGTGGGGAAGGCACAAACAGAAAGGCATGGGATTAAAGTAGCCAGGGAATGCAAACACTGGTAATAAATTGAGTTGGTTTGTACTGAAAATAAAGAAAAAGAAAAACCAGAGGCTTGTTTTTATTTTAAAAAAGGGAGATTGTTGAAGGAGGAGGGAGGGAGGAGAAACCTGAAAAACCCCACTGCCTTAAAATGATGGCACGCTAGAAAACAAGGTGAAGATTTTTTTCAGCGCTCACAAATTTAGTGTTCACACAAGAGTACATGTACATTTTACACAAATGAAAGACTTCATTTGCCACTGTAAACCTTTCTTCTTAGAGGAACAACTTTTGGAGATCAAATGTTCTATTAATTATTTAAATGCCAAAAAAAAAAAAAAAAGAGAAAAATTCTGAACAATATAGCTAATAAAGTATCTTTATACGGATGTTAAGATGATAATTTAGATTATTTTCCAAACTAATCCTGAGAAAAAAAATGCTGTTTACAATTTAAACAGTAATATTATGTAAAAAGTATTAACAAATCCACTATTACAAATGTCAGTTTTCCTATGTGGTCATCTATATATACACACAATAAAATGGTAAATATATGCAAAAATAATTAAAAAAAATCATGCACAAATTACTTTCACCTTTAAAGGCAGGGTTTCCCTCAAAAATACAATTTTTCATCTTTTTTTGGGTTTTTTTGTTTTTTTGTTTTGTTTGATACCACCCCCTAAACACACTGAATACTACCCCTACAGGTCAGCATGAGCTGATGGGAAATATATTTATTTTACATTCAAGCTTTATATCCTAAATGACCCTGTTGTAGCATATGACTTATCAAATGAGCAGCCATTTTTTCCTCTTTTTTGCGGTGATCAATCTTCATGATCCGTTCCGTGGCGAGCTGGGAAAAAAAATGCAGTTGCTAATCAATGTCTGAACAGTCTGAAGCTCCGGAAGATATCCAAGGAGTCACTATCAAACTATCCTGTAGCATGAGATCATTGCATACAGATAGGCAACTATCTACAAAGGTCTGAAAGGGCTGCGTCCCTCTTGTGTTTCCTCTTTTTGCCATGGAAATACTGATTATGTGATTTGCTGCCTTGATGTTGTTTGTTTGTCACTGAGGTACCATGGCTCGAGTTTGTTGGACCTTGAAAGCCTTTGTTGGAAGAAGAGCGGAAAAACCTTGCAGATCCATGCTGCAAAACAAAAAGAACCTAATCAACATGCATTACAAACAACATATGCCATTTACAGCATTTGGGTTCTGGTTAAAAAACCCAAAAACAAACCCTTAAACACTGTAATTTCAGGAGGTATTGTATTTAAAAAGATCTCAATGTTAAGGGAAGAATTATATCTACATCTAACTTCTTGTGCTAAAAGGCTTTCACTTCAGCAACCTCAGTAATGAAAGAAATAGAATGCTGATCTCTAGCCTTTACATAACACTTCAAGAGTGACAGGACCACATACTTTATTTTGCAGTAAGAATTGTACTATGTACCCTTTACTAAAAGGAAGTGGATAATTCAACTGCACATGTCCTTCTACATCTAAAATTTCCGAGAACAACTTATAAAAAAGGAAGTCTATGTAATCAGTTTAACAGGTATAAAAAAAAAAAAAAATATATCACTGAACAACCAGTCCCAGAAAGGACCGAGGGGGAACGAAATGACCCCAGAATAATTAATGATCCTGGAATGCCTCAAGAAAAAGTCTGCATATTCTGTTACACTAGAAAATAAATAATCAGGAAAAAAAATCCTTTTCAAGATAGCTGTTCTTCCACAGAATGTCTCCATACTTTCAGAAGCATGTATCCTATTAAAATCGTTTAAAATATTTATGTTTTTAGAACAGTTCCAAACCTGAGATTTGTTCATGCTGCTAGATGTATTAGCCGTTTGACTATTTTGCATTTTTCCACCTGATTGGGAAGATTCCAGTGATACATCTTGTGACCCCACTCGGTTTGTGGTAGACTGACGACAACTCAGCTGCTTAGATGTTTTGCATGGTGTTCCATCAGAATCCTTCAAGAAGACATGGGTATTAGACAGCTTATGTTCTCAGAATAAAACTAAAGTAAACAAAGTTTAAGGAGTAAATATGTTGGTCCCACCAGATACTAAGCCATTTTCAATCTAGAATTCCATCAACTCCATCAATACACAGTCCTGACTGTTTAAAGTCTTTTAAAATCCCTTTATTAAACCAGATTTTAAAAACCCCTATTTAAATACATGTTCACTAGGCAATTTATTTTGGGAATGTTATTTAAATCACATCAGCCCTTTGAAATGCATGCATTATTCAGGAAACAGGGGCAAAGAATGTGATTGCACTTTATATAGGAATGCAGTGGGCCATCATATCAATTTAGTTTTGACAAATCAATTAATGCCCATTGGATTTGTAAGAAAAATAACCCCAATGCAAATCTAGCTTCTGTATGTAATTATTGGAACCATCATAATTTGTCTAAAGTATATTATACACATATACGAAGAGGGAGATAAAAAAATTCTGATCAAGTTCAAAATAAGAACTTTAATACTTACTACATCACTAGAGCTGGATAATGTGGAAGAGGAGGAAGACAATGGACCAGATGATGAGTTTGAAGAGTGTTTACTGAGCATTTCTGAAGTTTTACTTCTAGATTTCCCTAGTGCTTCATTCTCTTCAGAAAGATTATTGTTACACTTGTCCAACTGTTGAGTATCTACTATCAAGGTTACCCCATTACCTGCAAAAAATAATTTTAAAAAGTAAAATGAAAGGAAATTGTTCATTTCTAATAAACCCTACATTTTGTATACACAGCACAGTAATTTTCAGAGTAGTCCCAGCAAAACCTATAGACTTCCCAGATGTAGCAACTTGGGATCAGATCTACACTCAAGAAGTCCACTGTGGAGCGTGATGAAATAAACTACCATACTATACCAAATTTAAAAATATACATAAGAGTTCAAAAAGAGAACAGACCACAGAAATGCTGTTTAACTTTCTATCTATGCCTCTGGCTACTTAATTTGCGTTCCTAAATGGGAATTGCTGGGTGCAGATCTTCTAAATAATATGTAGCCTTGTGTTCTGGCAAATGTGGTAAAAAAGATTTAAGAGCAGAGAAATAGCCAATCTTGGAACAAAACCAAGAAGAATCCCAGTATGAACTTCCTTGTTACGTTTCTTATAAGCAAGATTTACTGTTTTATATGTAAAAGGGGCCAATACAAGGCAAGGTTGCCCAAATTTGCTTATTCCTAGACAGTGCTATACTTCTATTCAAAACAGCAGATTTTTAGGAGAAATATTCCTCTGTGGCCCTTTATGAATGCCCTCACCATATACTGAGGTAGGTTTCCAGTAGATCTACAGGTTCATTTTCTAGTTAGGTATATTCATATACATAACTAACGTTATGTAAATACATTAACAATTAAGTAATACTATGAAGCTTGAGAGATCCGACTGCCACAGCCAGCTGACGTATCTTTACCATACTGATTTACAGATTAAAAAGAAGAGGTGGTGCCACAAGCAGTCTTCCAATCAAGACAGAGCTTGCTGGAATCCACCCACTAAGGCAAGCTTTAAATTCTGGTCAAGCGTAAAGATGGCCAATTATTTCTCAACTGTTTAGTCATCACTAATCTAATCAACATGATTAGATTTTTAGACATTGCATAGTTTCAATGCATTTTAGAGTATATGCAATTTAACTCATCTAAATGATGATCTCTAGCCACAAAACAGAGCACTGGAGTTCTGTTTTACATTAAGTCATTAAGCATGGCAGAAAATATAACAAAGCAGAGTCCAAAAACCAATCCCAGAGTCATCCTTAACAATTAGAAGGTTAAAATAAACAGAGGCCATGGACAGACATACATTTCAAGTGCTCCAAATTTCACTCCAATTCGGAATGCTTCAGGCAGGGACAGACTGCGCAGCCTTCTGCTGTAACCTACTGCCAGGGTGCTTCCAAAAAAAAAATAAATAAATAAAAATAAAATAAAATAAAAAAAAAATCAATGAGGGTATGCAGCAAGTGCTCTCCAGCCAGAGGAGAATCCTGTGGCTGGGGGCGGGGGGCAGAGAACAGTTTCTTGCAGACTCCAGAGAAGGTTGAGGGCAACTGTGCACCTCCCAGTGGAAAACAAGAGACTGGAGACCCTGCACTCCCTGCCAGAACTGTAAGACCCTGTGGCAGAGACATACAAACGATTTTCTGGTTCTAGAGGTTGCTGATGCTGCGCAAGTGCACATGTGCATGTTTGAAGGGCTTTAGATGTTACATCTGTCCAGGACTAGAAAGACTGCTTTGAATATTCTTCATATACTTGGATATATCCCCCCCATGATCTATTCTCTTTAGTAACAAAAGTCTATAAGGAATTATGATTATTATTCAAGTATTGCTCTGTTTTTTATATTTACTCCCCCAGGGAAGTCAATCTCTTTTGTATCATGCTCACAGCTACATCCTTAGCTAGTTGAGATCAAAGACATGTTTAATTTCAGATCAGGAACACACTTCAGAAGTTCAGCAGAGAAACAAAAAATAAATAAATAAATAAATAAATAATTTAAAAAAAAACCAACCAAGGTTTATGTTACTGTCCTTAAAGTCTGGACTACTTTAAAAGTGACTGTGTTGTGTATATTCATTTTACAACAATCTACACTTCAAACACACCAGTAGAGAAACATACAGTGATAATTTTTAGAACCATTTTAAACAGAAGCTTTAAAGTTTCCCCTTGGGTGTCAGTGCTCTTTCTAGGGTTGTTACCAGGCAAAATCAGTGACACCAGAATAAAGATTAGTGTTAATGCCGTTTTTTCCACAGCTACTCAAATCCAAATTTTCCCTCTAGATTATGCTAACAGTTTGCCAGAGAATTAGATGCAATGTAGAATGTTCATATTTAGACCTTTGCCATTACCTTATCTGAATCAAAAGCAAAGTAGCCAAATCTTACCATTACATGAAGACTCTGTTCTACTCTGAATTCCCCACTGCTTTGATATCCAATCTCTGTACGTGGCCACTTCTTGCGTTACTCTAATTATTCTACCTAATATACTGTGAAAGAAAAAAAGAAAAGAAGCAAAACCTGGTCAGTTTCAGATTTTAAATACATAAGAATGCATGTAAATATGGTGTGACTTAATTTTTTAAAAGTTTTACCTTTCAGTTTCATTGTTGGGATAATATTTAGCTATTGGCGATACAGCATGGCTCAAAACAACATATGCATAATCAAAGGCCTGTTTCACTTGCATGGCACCATATGAACTCCTCCCAACATCATTACCTTAAAATAAATACATAATAAATCATGCACTAGTCAAAACTGCAACACATCAAAAAGTACATATTTTATAGAGCATGAAATGCCATATAGAGCAACACAACATTTCAGTTTGTGTGGGATCCTAAGATTTTAGAGTATCTTTCTAACATGATGAATAAATACAATTTATTATAAAATATCAAAATGGAATCCTATAAATAAAATACCAATTTTGTGACCACAGATATCAAAACTGCCAAGTATATGTCCATTTACAGAATCAAATGGATGCCATGAGCATGTCTAAATGTTTTCTCTTCTGACTCCAGGTCCAGTGCCAACAAAATAAACTTTACCTACTCACTCCCACTGGACTGTGGCTGTAAGTACCTGCTACCAGGTATGAACCTCTTGCAGCCCTAGTACAGTCTGCAGAGCGCCCAGACAAGGGAGGAACGCTCACAGCTACCACCCCTGCTCTCTCCAAAATGAAACACAGCGTGGTCGTCATGGGAGACTCCCTCCTGAGGGGGACTGAGGGAGCAATCTGCCACCCTGACCCCTTAGCCCAGAAGGTCTGCTGCAGAGAGGATCCCAAAGCTTATCCAGCCCTCTGACCACTACCCTATTCTCCTTATCCATGTGGGTATGAATGACACGGCTTGGAATAATCCTGGCCGTGTCATGAGTGGCTACAGGGCTTTGGAAGCGGGGCTTAGGGGGTTGGGGGTTCTTCCTCGATCCTCCCGGTTGTGGGTCATGAGCTGAGGAGGGGGAGATGGACTGACGTAGTCAACCGAAGACTGCAGCACTGGTGTCATCATGAAGGCTTTGGCTTCCATGATCACATTCCGCTCTTTGGTGAGAGAGGCAGTGGTCTGCTGGGAAGAGATGGCCTCCACCTCTCTTAACTAGAGAAGCAGCTCTTTTCAGCCAGAATGGCTGACCGGCTGAACCGGGCTTTAAACTAAACCCGCTGGGGGATGGGTGGACAGCCACTAAAGCAAACCCACTAGGCAACTTCTGCAAAACCAGCAAGTGAGGGCACTCAAGGGAATCCACTCCTACCCCAGCCCTGGAAGGATGTCCTCCTGGGAGTGCAAGGAAGCCTAGGGCTTCCAATGGGACACTCACGTGCCTGTACACCAATGCCAGGAGCTTGGGGAACAAACAGGAGGAACTGGTCCTCCTGCTAAACAAGAATGACTACGATCACATAGGGATAACAGAAATCTGGTAGGACTCCACCTATGACTGGCCCACAGGTATAGATGGCTATACCCTGTACAGGAGAGATTGTGCGGAAAAAAGGGGTGGGGGTGTAACTCTCTCTGTCAAGGAAAGCTCCATGTCCCTGCAAATTGACATTGTCACCCAGGGAGGACTGGAGACCCTCTGGGTTAAAGTGCGTGGGGAACATGGCACAGGGAACACAATGGTAGGAGTCTACTAGAGACCACCTAATCAGGAACAAGAGCTTGACCAGGAATTTGCCGAGGAACTGGCTAAGGCTGCATGCTCTTGGTGCATGGTTGTCATGGGAGACTTCAACTACCCAGACATCTCATGGGAAGAGCACTGGGCCAAATCCAAATAGTCACAAAGCTTCCTCACGTGCATGGACCAGCTCTACCTGACTCAAGAAGTCTATTCACTGACAAGAGGTAAAGTGCTGCTAGATCTGGTACTGGCCGAAGGGGGTGATCTAGTCAGTGACCTAAGAATTGAAGGAAAGCTGGGAGACTGACCACGAGCTGATCACTTTCACTATCCACCGCAAAGCTGGCAAGTCAGTCAGCAACGTAGAAGCCCTCGACTTTAGGCCCTAAAGGGACCATGACTCGAGAGGGAAGGGAGTTCAGGATGAGTGGTTGCTCCTTAAGGAAGCGATCCTGAAAGCACAAGGGATGTCCATTCCATCTCAGAGGAAAGGTAGCAAAAGGGCACAGCAACCCCCTTGGCTCAGCAGGGAACTCGTGGATCTCCTGTGTCTGAAGAGAGAGGCTTATAAAAGGATGGAAGATGGGAATCACCACAAAGGAGGCATATTCTGCACTGGTCCAGATCTGTAGGGAGCAAGCCAGGAAAGCCAAGGCTGCAACCGAACTCCAGGTGGTTACATGTATCAAGGACAATACAAAGTCCTTTTTCAGATATGTGGGGAGTTGGAATAAAAGCAAGGGTAATGTTGGACCCCCGCTAAACCAAACGGGACAACTGACACCCAGGAAAAAGCCAACCTGCTTAATGGTTTTTTTGCATTGGTTTTTCACCAGGCCAAGAGGGACCACCCTGCCTAACACTATGCGGGACGGCCAGGGTGAGGGTGAATTTATACCCAATATCAGTGTAGACCTTGTAAGGAAGACCTTGAGAGGCTAGACACCTTCAAGTCAGCTGGTCCTGACAGTTTGCACCCCAGGGTACTTAAGGAGCTGGCAGGCATCATAGCCCAGCCACTGGCAAGGATCTTCGTGAACTCATGGCACAAGCACTTCTAAAGGAATGTCTACACTGCAGTCAGAGATGACAGACTGCTCATTTTGTTCACCGGAAATAAGGATTAGTCTCATTTGGAATATGCAGTACACAATCTTAAAAAAACTGAATGAAGAAAGTTTGAAAAAGTGGAGCTGTTTTTAAAGTTACTTTTCCCATTTGACTCCTTTGGGTTAGCTTTAGATTTTGATGTTTCATATGTTAAGATACAATACCTGGTTGTAGCGGGTCTTCAATGTATAGCATTGAAGGTCTATACCCATCCAGCATACTCTTCTGCACTTCATCTTTTGCTACATATGAGCCACCATCCTTTATTCGGATTCCAGTCTTTAGGTAATTGAAATGGCGGCCATATAATTCAAAAAATTCTATTAAAAGAACACCATAGTTGGCACTCGGTATGCAGGCATCTTCCCTGGGATGTAGCTATTTAAAAGAAAAGGAAAAATGAACTTGTTTCATCTTTTCTTAAAGAGTCCCACTTTCAGATTTCTTTATGTTCCTTTCAGATGCAATCTGCCTAGATTTAAGCTGTTATCATGTTAAACACTGCCTTACCATGAATTAACTCATTATGCCCTTGTGAAGCATAAACTCCCTAATATTCCAGCAGAGATTGTGCAAAAAATCCTATACCACAGACTTGTACTTCTAATACAAATGTAATTTAATCTAGACAACTATCTAAGTGTGGCCCATACGTTACTGTGTATAAGTCCTGAAGTGTGAACAAGTGGCTCACGTAATTTTGTAGACAGCATATAAAACTTCAGAGGAGATCAATCTATTTCCCATGTTAAACATACCATTCATGACCAAAAAAAGGGAAAACTGGGTTGAAGTAGATTACGTTTTCTTGAAAGAAGGATGCCTAGAATCTTCAAAAATTGAATGAAGAGAGTTTTAAAAAGTGGAGTTGTTCTTAAAGTTACTTTCCCATTTGGCTTCTTTAGGGTTAGCTTTAGATTTTGATACTTCATGTGTTAAGCTACAATACCTGACTGAAGCTCATTTGCTGATTGCCAACAATACTCTTTTCATTGACTTCTCTCTCACTCCTGCAGGATTCCAAATCTGTGAACAGACTTAATCCTGGTCATGTGTGTGCAATGTAATGCATGTGTTTGAAGGCACCCTCCATGCACCACTAAAGCAAGCATTTTATAAAAAAAAGTTGAGATGTAGGTGGTAAAAGGCATGTATGCATTACATAATTACTGCTAAAATATTTTATCACCGTAAAAATCAATCTTCTAGAAATTAACACGGATGATTGCACATAACTAATCCAAGACCAAGAAAGCAAAATACACTGCCACATACTCACACTTACAGTATATACTGTAATCATAACTGAAAGAATTATAAAAGCATTGAAATTTTTAAGTGCTATTACGCAGACAAGGTTCATAGATTCATAGATGTTAGGGTCGGAAGGGACCTCAATAGATCGTCGAGTCCGACCCCCTGCATAGGCAGGAAATAGTGCTGGGTCTAGATGACCCCAGCTAGATGCCTATCTAAGTTGAGTTCTAATAAGCTACAGTACCCAACCTATGTACTTCCTTAAACTACAAAGGACTCTGGCTTTTAGGGCTAGTATTACTTTCCCAATGGGGAGAGAGCTTTTTCCTTAAATCTGCTCTCTGCTGCCTGTGGCCATTATTTCTTGTAACCCCGGGGGGGGTTCCTTGGGTGAATTTGATATCTTTTATTAGACCAACCCAAATAGTTGGAGAAAAGTTATTAAGCAAGCTTTCGGGTTCACAAACCCTTCATCAGGCTAAGGAAGTTTCAGCAGTTGGTGTGTGCTCTTCCTGGAAACTTTCTTAGCCTGACGAAGGGTTTGTGAACCCGAAAGCTTGCTTAATAACTTTTCTCCAACTATTTGGGTTGGTCTAATAAAAGATATCAAATTCACCCAAGGAACCTTGTCTGCCTATGTCCTTAGACCAACACGGCTAAAACCTACACCCCTGTAAGTGCTATTACCACATTTACCTAAATCAAACTCTGAATTTAAGGAGCTGTGTGGCTGGGCAAAGACCAAAACTTCCATGTGTTCTGTACCCCAGGAGGGAATGGAGCCTGACACTAAGCAGCAGAGGAAAAAGGAGCAGGTAGAAGCTGTGGGAGACAGGCAGCTGCAATGTCTTCCACTCTGGCCCTGACCTGGGTTCAAGGCTGGAGTTGGACCTGCAGTGGATCTTGTTCTAATTCAATATATTCATTTTCTCATTTTATCTGTAGGAATGATATGATCCATACTGACACATTTTAGTGCTTAAAGTCATGGATATGAAGTTGTTTGTTCAAACATGAAATTCCTCACATTTGATGATAATATGTTTTTGTTCCATCTGATTAAGTGACTGAGTTGTGGAAAAACAAAGCTTCTCCAATGTAAATGCAATGTAAGACTATTTCCTCTGTGCTTAAAAAAATGGGACAAGAAAAAGAAAAGTAAATCAGAGCTGTGTACTACTTTTAATGGAATAAAAATGCAAACTTAGAAAATTAGTGCCATAATGCCATCTTGGGGTTTCTAGGAATATCACAACGAACTGCTGTGTTCCCAAGCACTACATTGCGAACTAAAGCCACTAACATCATGAAAACATTAGTACAAGATTATCCTAGATACCTGCACGTGTTGTGCATAACTGAAAAAGTACAGCACAGTACACAAGATATAGAGGAGGAAGAGAAGTGGTAAAAGAAGAGACTATCTGCAAATTATAAGTGCTTCCAATGATAGGATCTTGGGGTCATAATACAGAGAAGCAACAAAAGCACAGTTCCAATATCTGTGACAAGATCAGAACTTCATAAAATCGTTTGAATAGATATTAGTGGAGGATAAATGCATTTTAGGTAGATGCACAAATCAAACTTAGACTGAACAACCTGAACTTATTCAGCAGAATCAGTTTTGCAGATGCTACACAGCTGAATACAACATTTCTCTTTACATTTCAGTTCCACTATGAGCTGTAATGAAAATCTAATTGACCACTACTTCAGCCTTTTAATTGATGGGTCTGAAGCAAGATGCATGGCTACTGACCCATGTGAACAGTACTTATGGATTTAAACCACAAAACATTTTAATGTGGATTTTGTCAACGTGAGAAAAAATGGCATTTAAGCTTGTAACCTTGTGAGTATACTCTCGGTAGAAGTCAATGGGTCTGATTCAAATAAATATGGTAAAATAGCAATGCCAAAATCACACCCGAATAGGTATCATGTTCTAATTTAATAAATTCATTTTCTCATTTTATTTGTAGGAGTGACATGGAAGTATGGCAGAAGACCAGCTTGGCTGAGCAGGGAACTCCTCAGTAAACTAAATCACAAAAAGAAGCTTATAAGAAGTGGAAACTTAGACAAACAACTAGGGAGGAGTATAAGAGTATTGCTCGGGCATGCAGGGATGAAGTCAGGAAGGCCAAAGTGCAATTGGAGTTGCAGCTAGCAAGGGATATGAAGGGTAACAAGAAGGGTTTCTACAAATATGTGAAGAACAAGAGGAGGATCAGGGAAAGTGTGGGTCCCTTACTGAATGTGGGAGGCAACCAGTGATAGAGGATGCAGAAAAGGCTGAAGTACTCAATGCCTTTCACCTCAGACTTCACAGGCAAGCTCAGCTCCCAAACTACTGCACAGGGCAGAACAGTTTGGGGAGGAGGTATGCAGCTAACAGACAGAAAGAACAGGTTAGGGACTGTTTAGAAAAGCTGGACGTAATCAAGTCCGTGGGGCTGGATGGGCTGCACCTGACAGTGCCGAGGGAGTTGGCTGATGTGACTGCAGAGCCACTGGTCATCATCTTTGAAAACTGATGGCAAATTGGGAGAGATCCAGGATTGGAAGAGGGTAAACATAGTGCCCATATTTAAGAAAGTGAAGAAGTAGTATCCAGGGAACTATAGACCAGTCAGCTTCACTCCAGTCCCTGGAAAAATCATGGAGCAGATACTCAAGGAATCCATTTCTAAGCACTTGGAAGAGAAGAAGAAGATGCTAAGGAACAGTCAGCATTGATTCACCAAGGCCAAGTCATGCCTAACCAACCCGACTGCCATCTATGATGAGGTGACTGGCTGTGTGGATATGGGGATGTAGTATACCTTGATTTTAGCAAGGCTTTTGATATAGTCTCCCACAACATTCTCGCAGATAAGCTAAGGAAGTATGGGCTGGATGAATGGACTGTAAGGTGGATAGAAAACCGGCTGGAGCATTGGGCTCAAGAGGGTAGTAATCAATGGCTCAATGTCTAATTGGCAGCCAGTATCAAGTGGAGTGCCCCAGGGGTCAGTCCTGGCATCGGTTTTGTTCAATGTCTTCATCAATGACCTGGAAGATGGCATAGAGTGCACCCCCAGCAAGTTTGTGGATGACAACAAGCTGGGGGGAGTAGTAGATACACTGGAGCATAGGGCTAGGATCCAGAGTGACCTAGACAAATTGGAGGATTGGGCCAAATGAAATCTCATGAGGTTCAACAAGGACAAGTGCAAAGTCCTGCACTTAAGATGGAACAATCCCATGCACCAGTACAGGCTGGGGGCTGACTGGCTGGACAGCAGCTCTGCAAAAAAGGACCTGGGGGTTACAGTGGACAATAAGCTGAATATGAGCCAGCAGTGTGCCCTTGTTGCCAAGAAGGCTAATGCCATACTAGACTGCATTGGTAGGAGTGTTGCCAGCAGGTCAAGGGAAGTGATCATTCCCCTCTATTCAGCACTGCTGAGGCCACATCTGGAGTACTGGAGTTTTGGGCCTCCCACTACAGAAAGGGCATGAACATGTTGGAGAGAGTCCAGCGGAAGGCAATAAAAAAGGTGAGGGGGCTGGGGCACATGACATGAGGAAAGGCTGAAGGAGCTGGGCTTATTTAGTCTAGAGAAGAGAAGACAGAGGGGGTTTAAAAGCAGCCTTCAGCTACCTGAAAGGGTGGTTGAAAGAGGATGGAGCTGGACTGTTCTTCAGTGGTGACAGATGACAGAACAAGGAGCAGCCGTCACAAGTTGCAGCAAGGGAAGTTTAGATTAGATATCCGGAAGAATTTTCTCACTTGGAAGGTAGGAAAACACTGGAACAGGCTACCCAGAAAGGTTGTGGACTCTCTATCCGTGGAGTTTTTTTTAAAACTTGGCTAAACAAAGCTTTGCCTGGGATGATCTAGTTGGAGATGGTCTTGCTTTCAGCAAGGGATTGGACTAGATGACCTCCAGAGGTCCCTTCCAACCCTAATTTTCTATGAGTCTGTGGAAGGTACCAACTCATCTCTGAAGTTGGTCTGCCGAAGCGGGGATAATGTGTTGTCCACTGTACCACTACTGACCAGGGTTCACCTAGAGTTTAATCAACATTTTACGCTGAAGAACTGCCAATTACCTTCAGTCTGATATTCTGAAAATGCTATCAGCATGTTACTTTGAGTGCCTTTTACAGTAGATCCCTCAAGTGCCATTTTAAATGCTATGGACCAGAACAGCAAGTTTCACATATTAATAAATATATAACTACTTTCACTCTTTAAGTCCTCCAAAGCAAATGGCTCTAATTCCACAATCTGGATTCCAATGTTAAGATTTTCAGACAGAATTATTAAACTAAATTCTAACTATGAGGGCAGAATTTGGCCTCAATTACACCAGCAACAATCAAATGTAAACAATGAGGGCAGAATCTGGCCTATAGACATGATATTAAACATTGAAATTTCCTATAGACGTGGCATCAAATACTGAAATTTCACAAGCAGGAAAAAACATTTTTTGCCACAATAGCATCGACAATTTCAGTTAACTCACCTGAAGAAAGCTGACAGCCATTAAAAAAAGACTATATGAACCAATTCCACCTGTGAATACTTCATTAAGGTCCCTCTGTAACAGGAACTGTTTCAATACTAAAACCAGATACGGTAATACAGGATATTTCTGAAAAAGAAAACAAGGATTTTTGGCTAAACATTATGCATACTCAAGTTTGCTGCAAAAGCCACAGTGAAAATGGTTGTGCCTAAATCACAAGACACCCATATCTTTACTTGGTATTACCATACTAAACACAACAAGTCGAAGTGACATAGGATATATTTAGATTCCTTTCCTTATGGACAGTTATTTTTGCATTGCAATGGAGGACGGTGGTCTGCAAGTTTCCCTGGATATCTTCTAAGGGATGTCAAAGGGCAGAAGAAAGGAGTGAGGGTAACCCTGTCCTCTATGATTACTACAAAGTTTCCCTAGATCTACTCCACAGTACTGTTGCTATGGAGTAAATTTAAAGAGAAACTGAGCTGGTCCTGATTGAACCAAACACATAACTACATCTGCTTTTCTTACAACTTTTCAAGGAAAACTAAAGGAATATCAGTGCAACCTACAGAAGACACTTCACAAGAGTTGCATTCTTCAGTTGCTAGACGCTGAAACCAAGATCCGACACACTTACACCTGTGAGTGTTCCTAATGAAGGGCCTCTTTATGAAAAATTGTTAAATCCACAAATTGTTTTCTAAAGAACTATTAAACTTGTATTAACTAGCTCTTCAAGATGTTTTATCCACATGGAACCCACTCAAGGTATCTGTTGGAACTATGCCAGCACCCTGCATGTCCTTGTACACATTATCCAGAGGAAACAACCTCTGTTTTTTCATCAAATCCAGAATGCCAGAGCTAAAGGACTCTGCGGTGGCAAAAAAGCAACACTGGGTTGTAGGATCTATATAAGCAAAACACTACAAAAGAAAACAACAATTTCTGCAAAGTTTGTAGCCGTTCTTTTATCAAGTATTTGTCCACATGGATCCTCTCATTGTCTTGCTGGCAACATACCAATTACATCGTTATGAGGAATCCGATTTAAATAAAAACTGAAAGACTTTCCTATAAAACTAAGAGTGAGATCTGCTTTCTTTTAGGTAAGTGCCCTAAAGTCATTTAAACTCTGTTTTGGCATTAAAAGACCATGACCATCAAATGACAACTGTACCCATACAGGATATGAGACCTCAGTGATGCAGCCACAACAATCTATGCCCAGTGGCAGAAGCAGTTACTGTCCTGACAGTGGTGTCTGACATTTGGTAATGTCATCTTAGCATTTTAAATTATTATTTCTGAGTTTCTCTCTTGAGAACTGCAAGTATGTCCAGGAACTGGAAGATTGTCTCACTGGAGACATTTGTACTTCATTAGCAAGTCCTGGCAATTGTGGGAAGAGTAGAAGTTTCCTTCTAAACAAGTTTCTTTATCAATTCCTGAGAGCAGTATTTTATTTTCTCGTGTGCTACAGCCACAAGGAGCTCCTGAAAAGAATGGCTGTAAGAATACCTTATTTATTTTGGAAGGGCTTTCTCAGTCATTTTCAGAATGCACCCTGCATGTCCTTGTACACAATGACCAAAGGAAATAAGTGACTGAGAGAGGCAGAGGCCTACCAATGATCTTTGGACATTTTAGCTGCACCCAGATGAGCATGGACCTGCAGTATGTGGTGCTGCAGATCTGTATGCAGCACTACACACCACACATGCAGGCATTCCCTGCACTGCTACCTTGCAGCACGGGGGTGGGGAGGCACACAACCAGTTCTCCTAATCTAAGTTCCTGCAATAGGCACCCCTCACTTTGAAGGAGTAGAGTGATTTACACTTGTGTAAGGCTGGACAAAATTTGTCTGCTCTACTTCTACTCTGGGGTGGGGTCAACGTAGTTCATAGCAAACATGCCAGGTGTCTCAACCCCTACTGTCTGTCATTCATTTCAAGAGGTCATGAAGGGTCCTACAGAACAATTAACAGTTGTAAGGGGTTAATAGTTTCATCTGCAAAGATGAAGCAATCAGAATATGAGCATGTTGCTTTTGATCATTACTAACACCAAATATTCTAATTCTTGTAAATTTCACCATGCAGAGGCACTTTCATCATTCTAGGCGGCCTTGCTAGGTTAGGTTATTCATTCCTGCATGAAAGGCTTCCCCGTAGTCTGAGTCTCAAAAACACAGTTTGATATTTCTCTAGTGGCTGGTGACGCCATGTCTGCACACCAGAAGGTAAGACCCATATGTAGAAATCAGAGTCTGGACCCCGTCCCATTCATGTCTCTCATAGAGGGTGAAATGATGTCCTAACTCCTAAAATCTCCTTTTCCTGCTTCAATTTACAGATTGGTCAAGGAGACCAAATAGAAAATATTGGGAGAAGGACTCATTTTATTTTTCTATTTCATCTCTGTCAGGACGCCACCTTCAGAGGAGCTGAACAATGCTGAGCAGACCCAGGGGATTTATTTAATTAAATACAGCTCTGGGTGCCAAACTAGGCAGATAAACTTAATTTCTGGTACCCTTGGTTCTAGTACAGGGGTGGGCAATTATTTTGGGCGGAGGGCCGCTTACTGAGTTTTGGCAAGCTGTTGAGGGCCACATGGGTAGCCCCGCCTCTTCACAGGGCCCCACCCCCCCAGTCACCAACTCGTGACTGGAAGTTCTGCCCCCTAACCCCTGACTTTTGCCACCAGAAGTGTCCCCACTCTTTGCCCCCCAGAAAGTACTCCCTTCAGCAAGGGATTTTGCTCCTTTAGGCAAGGGGTTCATGTTTGAACCAAAAACATACCAAATTGTATTCTAAAATGTGAACAACTAGAGCATTCATTAATTTGATTTAAAAAAAAATATTTTTGTCCTGATTTATATGCGTTTGTGTAGTGTACATAGAGATGACTGCACAATAGCTTAAAATGAAGTTTTAGTCTTGTATATTGTGGGGGGTGGGTATGTGGAGTAGATGTATGTGGATATAGAGTCTGTGGGGGGCTGTGTGTGGGGGGAGGAAGGTTGGGTTTGTGTATGGCAATGCGAGGGGTGGTGTGGGTGCATGTGTATGGTGGGGTGTGTGTGTGGGACTCACCCTATGAACACACACACACCCGCCTCCCCCCTGTACCAACACAGTCCCATGCTCTGTAGTCCAGTGATGGTGCCAGGAGCCACAGCAGGTGGTGCTAGAACAGGGCGGGGGCAGAAAAGCAGGAAACTGGCTGGAGGTGGGGCGGGGTCTAGTTGCTCAAGCCTGCTGAAGGTTCCCTCTGGGTCCTACTGCCCCTGGTTCCTGTCAGCTTTGCAGGCAGCTGGGGGCAAATAAATCTTAATTTAGTAAATTTTTTAGGGGCCCCGCAGGCCATATTTTGCCCACCCCTGTTCTAGTACCTATGTAGGCTTCGTGGTTGTAATTAGTGGTATGTTGCAGAGATTCTTGTTCAGGCATGACACTTACATTTCTAGAAGTCAAAGACGTACTATATTTACTTGAAATAAGACTAGGTTTTTTACCTTCCCAATCAGCATGGGAAAAAAGCCTCATCTATAATAATAGTACGCTTATCCTGTCTGTCCAGAGTACTCCAATTGGTCAACCAGGGGTACACCTGGGGTAACTTGAGAAGGCCCCAGGGGGTATGCGGAAGCAGTGCAGAGAAGCAGGGGCACTTCTGGTTTCGCCACTGTGCGCACAAAGGACCCCCCACCCCCTCCACTCGTCAAGCAGCTAGGGGACGCCCTGCTTCTCTACTGGCCACCAGGGGTACACAACCAAAAAAGGTTGAAGACCCCCTACCCTGTGCAGTTTCTGCCCTCCTCTGTTCCTTTCCCCCTCCTTACTGTCACATGTAGCTTGCTTCCACATTGTGCTTGGAGAAGGAACAGAGCCTGAGCAGGTCTGACAGTGGAAGGGGATGAGGGGGAAGGCTGCAGGGGAAAGAACTTATGGGGGGCAGAGGACAAGGGAGCCACTTGACTCCCTGCAGCCACCATTTTCCCTACTGTAGCAGTGGGAGGGGGATGAATTCAAGACAACACTCCAGTAATTAGATTCTACACACCTAGAATATTATAACAACTTTATAAATTTTCCATATATAGAATGGAAAATGTATAGAATAGGGAAAATATAGAATAGGGTCATGTTATATTCAGTGTCATCTTGTATTTGACAAAATACAGTAAACAAGATCACGTGCCATGTACTGAGGGAAGTCAAACATTTAGAGATCTGCACCTCATTTTGGTATTGTAATAGTTACAGATAACTATCAGTACAAAAGGCTCCTGGGCATGGTACTAGTGCTAAAGAATGCACAGCAGGCAGCAGGTCAGATTTTAAAGGAAGACTGGGGATTATGTCAGAAATATGTTCAGTCACTGCTTTATATCAAGTTAACTGGTTTACATAGTTTGATCCGTCCTGTACAGCTACTGACCTCATTTACTAGCTCACCTACTGACCCATTTGGCTTTGAGCAAACAAGGATGTCGGCGCTACCACTAGAGGAGTCAACCTCAGCATTCCGTTAGATTTAAAGACACCACCGTGCTCTACCAAACAAGCAGATTTTTACTGCTGGCTTCACCAAGGAATTTACTATGTACATCTAAATGTTTCACTAGGAGAAGAGTAAAGAAAGTTCAAAATGACTGCAAAGTTTTAACAAAAAAAAAAAGCCTATTAAAACCTAACACTTAGACTCCACATATTAAGTCATTTCTTATTTGTCTTGACAATTAAACTATATTATGCAATAACATGCAAGGATAACCTATGACAGACTCATTAACAGGAAATTTGTTAACAGCATTTTTTAAGCTATTGGGATTCATCTAAAAGTAGCCATTAAATAATGAATACCCCGTTTACTAATACACAGGCCCAAAATTAATTACAACGTTCTGCACCAACCCATGGCCTTATCACAGCCTTGAATTGCCAAGGTACTAGGGAACATGTATTCAATATTAATGCTAATGAATCATCTTGATTATATGTCTAGAGGTACACTTTCCATGAATACTTCATTCCAGAATTTTCAGGCAGCAACATACTTTTTGCCTTTTTGTGCCCCTTTGTTTGGCTATCACACTAACAAAGAATAAAAGAGTACAGTGTTTGAACACCTGATTTTACATTTCGCTTTGACTCTATTCTTATTACAAAGTGAATTGATATATAATTCAAAAGGTTCTACTATAAGTATTATCTAACCTTGATAAAATCTTTGATGAGTTGGGCTGCTTTAACCCCATTCTGTACATTAAAGCTGATATCGACTTTTACCTCAGTGAAGGAATCTGTCAGTTTAATAATAGGAACCTGACAAAGGAAAGAGAAAGTTGAAGTTAATGTACAGGGATCTCAACTGTAATCTATTTTCCAAGATCTACTGAACTTAAATACTACAATATGGTTTATAGATAGCTGCACTAGCAAATAAACTCTTCTAGATTTGCAGAGGGAAGGCTGGGGGGGGAAGGGAGGGGACAACAAACAAACAAAGCAAGACAGTAAGATCACAAGAGCACTGAATTAATAAGATCTCATTTCCTTTTTGCCCATACCTTTAAATGATTTATGCTTTACTCAAACACAAAGTATTTTTAATTTGAAATCTATTATATATAATATAGTAATATTTATGAAGGTTCCCTAACATGTAATTGCAAAGTCAAAATAGTATCATTTCTAGTGAGGAAAACACCAGAGGGAGACAATGATTAAGAAATAAAGACCTTTGGTTTCAGAAAATATTTTCAAGAGAAAATACAAATCTCAGGAAATCTATCAATGACTGGAAGAAAACATAGACATGAGCGACACTTCAGAAACAGGTCAGGAATGAGTTTCACTGAGTGAATTATTTATGTATTAAAAAACCAGAGCAGAAATTTCTCATCCAGGATAGAATTTGTCTATTTAAATATCCTCACCTTTCCAACCCCTAAAAAAAATAATTCAGAATCATTATAAGTACACTTATAACTACGGTAGCTGATATAATTACTGTTATAAGCCACAGCCTGGTTGACTCGTCAGTAGTAATAAAAATATTATTATGTATTAATAAGTAAACAGGTTTGACTTTGAATGTATACAAAGTAATGCATGTCTGGTCAAGACATTTTCCAAAGGACACTTGCCAAATTAGAAATTCCCTTTAAAAACATTAAACTGGGGGACCAAAAAACAAACAAACAACTTACAGTTGCTTTGTCTAAAACCTTCACTGAATTTTCATCCGCTACATTGTGCTTTCTGAGAGCTTCTTCCAGGGTCCAAAGAGGTAATGTTTCCCATTTCCCAAACACAACTAAGTCAATATCACTGAAATGGGGAAAAAAATTGCAAAGATAGTTAATTTAAAATATACATGAATGCCAGTTTTTTGCTTTTGCTTTGTTTTTTAATGTATGCCACTGAAATGTAACATGAGTATTGATTCCTCTGTAAATTCCCTTGAATAAAAGAAAGAAAAACTTCAAAATAATACAAGACAATTCGGATTCCAAGGAACAATTGTTATATATTTTAAAATCAGATGGGAAGCAACCATCAGATACTTTGATAATACTAATTGTGACAAAAAGTAAAGTTTAAAATATGAAAACAGCTCAGACCTTTAACAGTTAATTTAGGCTAGGAACAGAAGTTGCACATAAACCAGTATAAATGATTGGAAACAGTTCATAACTGTAAAGCAACAGAAATTCAGTGCACATACATCGATTTCAACATGGCTGAAGCCAGTTTAAGATAAACCTGGATGGATGTAGTACCAGACTTCATTGGTTTAGGTTAAATTGGTTTATTGAATTTCTGTCCTAGATCCCCTCCAGATTCAAATTAACTCAGTCCCCCAGCATCCCAGAATGCTTTGCACCTTCCCCACAAACCCTACCCCTTGTGCAGTGGGCAAGCCAGCCTTGGCCTAAGCCGTCTGCTCCAGCCCAGCAAGGAAGCGTGCTTTTAGTGAATAAATCAGAATTTCTAAAGCGTGAAACTGTTGCCTCTTAATTGACTTCTACTATGAAAAAGAAACATGGGAAAACAAATTATTTCAGTACTACTTTGCATAAAACTGGATACCCAGCAATGCCAAGATATTAAATATATATGTATTTTTTTCAAATTTTGTAAGTATTTATTTATTTAACGTCTTAATTAAGTCTCCAAATTTTGCCTTTGAAGTGAGGATAGCAAGCCCTAAATAGAATTATCAATTAAAATATTTTCATACATAAAAAAGGGGAGATCTACAGGAGTCCAGTCTGAGCTGTATATTGGGCTTGCTGGGAGAGATTCTCTGGTGTGTGCCTAGAGAGGAACAGATTAATCTACTGATTGAATAATTGGTAACTGCCCACTATTGCATTGAGTTTCAGGCCTTTGGAAAGAGCAGAAATTTCAGAATCAGCAAGGTTAAGACATATGAAGGGAATCACAGGCTGCCAACAATTAAACTGGTGGGGATTCCAATAGCATAAAATTAAAAAGTTGTCTGTATTAATGCAAACTATGGGAGGAGACCACAATATTCCCTGCTTTCTTTTTTCCCTTAAATGAAAGCTTATTCAAACCCTTTGAAGACATCAGGGTACATTTTTATTCTAAATGTCCTTTTGGTTTGTAACTTCAGGTCTGCTTTCCAATGAAGCAGAAAAAAGAAAATATATAAATTCTATGATTTTGTTCATTCACTAACACTCCATTAGGAATCTTACCATTTGTAAAAAAAGAATATATTCACACTAGACAAATTACTTATGGCTGACAATAAGCAATAGCAACAGGCAAGTTCAGCACCAGTTTAACTGCATTCCGTTTAGCTAACCAGGACAGACCATGTTCAGTACGTTTCAGAAAGGATATTCTCGGACTGAGTTTTAAAAAAGGCTTCCTGAAGTGGTAACCACCACTCTTGTCTCAGTCTGCATTTGTGTCTAAACCTGCATTGAACCCGTTGCAATGCTAAACATCAGCAACTTTTTTCTGGGTTTAGACAAGAATAGACAGGACACTTAACATACTGAGGGTACATATGATTTTCAGGACAGCACAAAAGACCCTACCAGATGACCGATCATCTAACTCAAGGCTGTCCAACTAGTGGCCTGTTGGTTGCACGGGGCCCATGAGCAGTAATGTGCAGCCCTTGGGCGCTCACCTGGCCACTGTTCCCCTTTTTACTCTAGCTGCAACAGCAAAGAGAGACTCCAGGTCTCCTCCTCTTCCTGCTTTTGCCCCAGGGGGCAGGGCAACAATATGGGGAACTGAACCAGAGTTTGGGCTGAGAGAGGCAGGGCAGAAAAAATTGGGGCTGTGCACTGCAGTGGTGGGGGCGCCCACATGGGCACATTTTGCAGCTGGGGAGGGAAGTCGTTCTCCCGTGCCCAAATGGTACAGAGGCAAGGGACACCTATGCAGGTGCATCATTCAGCAATGGGTTGGGAGGGAGCACCACATGGCAGAACTCATGTGGCCTCAATGGTGGGAAGCTCCCAGGGGTTAGCAGCTGGACAGCCCTGATCAAACTAAACCCTTGGAACTAGCATATGTAACAGGATATTCAAAGATTGTTTTAGAAAAACAGAATCAAAAGCAGTCAGCAGCGAGTGCTTAACATGAGAACCTCAGATCTAGGCCACTTAACCTTGCAACTAGAAATGAAAGAAAAAATATGAATCAAAAGGAAGTTTGATGCCTGTTAATGGGTAACAAAGTAGATCAAAAGATCCAGTTTATCATGTTAACCTAAAATGTTATTTTATTAACTATACTAAGCACCTAAATTCTCCTGAATAAAGTAGGGAAATGCTACAGTAAAAAAATAAGGCAGGCATGTAGCCAAGGTATATTCAGAATGTATTTTAATACAAAATATATGCAATGATTGTGACTGACAGTGAAATAAAAAAATCAGAACTTCCTTGGGTAGAATATTTGCTCAATACCCGACTATTTTCCTAAATCTGCATGCATATTACTCCAGCATGAGGAGACGGAAGATAATTGGACAGAACACAGGACCCTGAAACCCTACTGGAATAGAGAGATACAAAAAAAAACAAAAAAAAAAAAACTACTAACCTTGTTGGTAAATATAAACCAGTTTTAAAACTTCCAAATATCTGCACCTGAAACACAGAAAACCTTATTTAATTAAAAAAATTCTGAAGTCGCCTAAAAGACGTATTATTTATTAAAGTTTGACTACTGCAACCCTCTATAGGTAGTTGATATTCCTGAACTGCACATTATGAACAAAAAGGGTTTATGATATAGTAATTTAAACATGTAACTAATTTAACAAATATCTGTAGGTCTAGTGGTTGATTGCTGGATTGTATTATTACTACATTGCAGTAATACTATAATGCAGTACAGTGATACAACACAGCAAATCAGCCACTAGACCTACAAATATTTGTGTAAGTAGATTTCAAATAGCATAATTAAAATAAATACATACATTTCTAATGCAAGTATTGTATATGAAACAACTTTAATAGCTTTATTAGTTTTTCCATTGTAAACCCCCAATTTAAATTTTTAAATGGAAAAAAAAAAAAAATCACTGTATAAAAAGTGATTCATATTTAAGTTCAAATTTAGTTTACAGTGTCTAAAAAGAAAAAAAAACATTAGAAAACCATGTGAAAATAGTGAGGAAAAAATTACTAGTTCAATTACTTTTTGTGTTTTTATGACCGGATGGGCAGGTTTCCCTGGAAGGCCAGTCTGAAGGGGAAAGGAGTCCCGGAGAACTGGTTGTATTTTACTGAAACCTTACTGAGGGTGCAGGGACAAACTATCCCAAATGTGCAGAAAGAATAGCAAATATAGCAGGTGACCAGCTTATCAGAGAACACTCCAGTGAACTTAAACACAAGGAAGATTACAAGAAGCGTAAGCTTGGACACACAACTAGGGAAGAGTATTGCTCGGGCATGCAGGGATGAAATGAGGAAGGCCAAAGCGCAGTTGGAGTTGAAGTTAGCAAGGGACATGAAAGGTAACAAGAAGGGTTTCTATATCTTTGTTAGTGATAAGAGGAAGGTCAGGGAATGTATGAGTCCCTTACTGAATACGACAGACAGCCTAGTGATAGACGAGGAGAAAAAGGCTGATCATCAATGCCTTTTTTACCCAAGTCTTCACACGCAAAGTCAGCTCCCAGATTATTGCATCAGGCAGCACAGTTTGGGGGAAAAATGAGTAGACTTCAGTGGTGAAAGAACAGTTTAGGGACTATTTTGAAAAGCTGGACATGTACAAGTCCACGGGGCCAGATACAATGCATCCAAGGGTGTTAAGGGAGTTGGCTGATGTGATTGCCAAGCCATTGGCTATTATCTTTGAAAACTCATGGCGAATGGGGGAGGTCCCAGAAGACTGAAAATGGCAAACATAGTACCCATCCTGAAGCAAGAGAAGGAGGATCCAGGGGACTACAGACTAGTCAGCCTCACCTCAGTCCCAGGAAAAAATCATGGAGGTCCTCAAGGAATCCATTTTAAGCACTTAGAGGAAAAGAAGGTGATCAGGAACAGTAAGCATAGACTCACCAAGAGCAAGTCATACCTGACCAACCTGATTCCCTTCTATGAGGAGATAACTGGCTCTGTGGATGCGGGAAAAGCAATGGACGTGACATGCCTTGACTTTAGCAAGGCTGTTGAAACAGTCTCCCACAGCATTCTTGCGGGCAAGCTAAGGAAGTATGGGCTGGATGAATGGAGTGTAAGGTGGATAGAAAGCTGACTGAATCATCAGGTTCAACATGTAGTGATCAATGGCTCGACATCTAGTTGGCAGCCAGTATCAAGTGGAGTGCCCCAAGGTTTGGCCCTGGGACTGGTTTTGTTCAATATCTTCATTAATGATCTGGAAGATGGGATGAAGTGCACCCTCAGCAAGTTTGCAGATTACATCAAGCTGGGGGGAGTAGCAGATACACTGGAGGATAGGGCTAGGAATCAGTGACCTAGACAAATTGGAGGATTGGGTCAAAAGAAATCTTAAGAGGTGCAACAAGGTCCTGCACTGGGGATGGAACAATCCCATGCACCAGTACAGGCTTGGAACCAGCTGGCTAAGCAGCAGCTCTGCAGAAAAGCACCTAGGGTTTACAGTGGACAATAATCTGGGTATGAATCAACAATGTGCCCTTGTTACCAAGAAGGCTAACCTACTAATGCACCCCAATATGCGAAGAGTTGCCAGTGGATTGAGGAAAGTAATTATTCCCCTCTATTCTGCACTGCTGAGGCCATATCTGGAGTAGAGTGTCGAACTTTGTGCACACCAGTACAAGAAGGATGTGGACAAGTTAGAGAGAGTCCAGCAGAGGGCAACAAAAATGGCTAGGGGGCTGGAGCACATACCCTAATTTTCTATGATTCTATTATGTAAAACGCGTTTGTTTTTAAAATGTGATTTTACAGATAGCAACTCTAGAATTTTTGAAAGATAGGATTTTGAAGATCCAAACTGTTCCAAATTGCATGGGAAATGGTATACACCGTTCTCTTGTCTCAGCTAAACAAACTCCAATTATTTCTTAAGGATCCATAAATACACTATGTTTGTTGTCTCCTTGATGTAGTTGTGTTTAATCATTACTTACAATAAAAGTTCATGGTGAACTTGTATTGAATATGGTTTGACCAAAACCATGTTTTGGCTGCATACACATGTTCAGATTATCTGAAAGATTTCTCCCGGGGTTGATTTTCTGGTAGGAAAAAAAAAAAAAAAAAAAAAAAAACAACTTACTAGGAGATCCCTGAACAAACACTTAATTGCTGAGACCCTGAGGAGCAAACAGCTTAACAGTGCTGATATTGCACAGCCAGGGGGACTCTGTACACGCATCTCAGCATGGCAGAGGTGCACAAGGCAGCCCTGACTGGCTGATCCAGAATGCCCAGGGTCAGCCCGTGTCTCCCTGTTACTTAATGAGGAAATCATGAAGGGGGTATGTTCTCTTCCAGTAGAGTCCAGTGAATGACAGAATGTCTCCCAGGAGGTTGGAGGGGAGCAAAAGCACGCCGGGATGCTTGAGGACTGCTGCAGCATCTCCCAGAAGAGAATGTGTAGACAGTCCCCCTCCCAGGAGAAACTCTCCTAGAAGTGACTTAATCCAAGTTACTTTTCTCCTGGAGTAGCCATTTTTGCTCTGGGAGTAAGAGCCTGAACCATCTGCATACTTGCGGTTTCTCCTAGTAGACCAGCAACTCTCACAAGAGAAACTGAATGTCTGCATATGGCCCCAATTAACTCAGAAGGGTACAAGGGCTGGTCAGCATTTGGCTCCCACTCTCTGTGGTACGTTACTGGTACAACAAGTAAGTCTCCATACTTTGTCTCATCTTCAGCAAGACCTCCCTACAGAAGCACACAGATTGCTCTGATGCACATTTCATGTACTGATGTTTTCCCCTCAGCTATTTCAAATGGCCATTTGTATTTTAATATTCCGCCCAAGGTATTATTTTTATGGTTACATAAAACAAAAATTTTGCAAGTGACATGATATTTTAAATGTATCATTTGGAAAAACAAAGTATTTTTCAGAGTTTAAGTTACTATGCCTTTCCTTTTTTTTTTTCTTACCCTAAAAAGCCATTTTTACATACTCTTCTGTAAGAATTCGTAAATTGTTATGTTCAGAGACAGGGGGTGGGCAGCGTATGCACAAGTGAGCAACTGTGTATGAGCAATGGCTTCTTTCAAGCCAGCTGAAACTAATATCCAGATTTTTAAGGAACTTGACAGCTTTATAACCCATGTACTAAAGAATCAACAAAATCATCTACCTGACTCCACTAGGGTCCATACAAGCCATTACTTTTGCCAACAACACAGAGTAAAACGTTCTTACACAGTAAAACAAATGGCCCAAAGAGCAAAGGAATACCCAAATCTACCCTCACACAGCAGCAAAAAAACATTAGTGAGTGAAAAATATTCTGTAGCATACAAATAAGAGACAAGTTGGTCAGAAACAGTGAATGAAACTTAGCAGTGGAATGCATGCAACCTTTGTAGAAAAGTGAGCAGCACATATTTATCTCTCAACACTACAACAATGAGTAATATGAGAAACATTTGTGAGAAACATTTAAAAAAAATACTAAAGGAAACCAATGCTTGATTTAACAATCAAACAAATGTTGAAGTGCTTTAGCTCTCCTTCCATTTATATCTTTAACCCATCCCAAATGTGGAACATTACATGATTTACTTCACAAGAACAGTGCAGACAGTAAATTTGTGCTGTAAGTAGTACTACTGGTAGCATGCATTTTTTTTTTTTTTACCTTATATAGGGGCAAATGTTGGTTTTTGTTTACAAACTGCTGATATATTATGTAATGCCACAGTGGACTTCTTTTCCTCAGTGCACATATTTTTAGTATTCTGCCTTGAATTCTTAGACATGGACGCAATAAAGTACAGTACTAATGCTTCTGAGGAAACCTTTACCAGAGTATTTCTGGACACAACCCATGCACCAAACAGATCCTGACAAACTTCTCAAGTTAATGCCGAGCTTGAAAGAAGAAAAAAAAAAAATCTTCTTCAACTTGCCAGTGGCCCAAGAGGAAAATTTCCAAAGCTGGTTTATAATCCTTCTCTCCCAACATAAACTCTAGAAAAACTCACTGTTTGTTTTGTACAGAGTTAAGTTTTCCACTTCCTGTGCTGCATCCAACTATGGTATTATCATAATTGCAATGCACAAGGTATGCAATATCGACTAAGGCCTATAAGGAGGACTATGCTAATATTTGGGCATGATTAAAGATAATGCGACACACTTACCCTCAATTTCACTACAGGAGAGCTCTTGTAAATTCAGATACTAGCAAGATTTAATGTTCATTTTGTCAAAGTCTTTAATTTTAAGTGTCTTCATTTAAACCACTCGTGTTGTTCTGCTTCAATGTAATTAAAGCCTTTCTTATGGTGGAACTCTGCTGATGCCAAGAACAGTTCTCACTTGCTAGGAATGTTTCCTTCTAAGCACATTCCCCTCGAGTAAGAGAGCAAATGACACAATTGCTAACTTCTATAAATAAAGTTACAGTTTAAGATTGTGTACCAAGGAAAGAGAAACCATACTCGATTG